TGTTGTGTGTGCGCGTATTTTGGCTCTCATTCGCACATCGAGATATTTAATGTGAACATATCAACGGCCATCGGAATTTCAGCTCTATTAAGAAATTTCGAGAAGAATTTCGTATTTAAGTCGAACGGAAAATTCTCAGGATGTAAAAAACTCCATATATTCGTAAGTAAATCGTATATTGACCCATCATTTGGTCACATTTAATTTATTATTTTTATGATGCTATTTTGTTTAATCATGTTTTTATTTTTGTTCTCTCATTGCTATTTACAATACCCGTTGTGCCGAGAATGCAAACATACACATTCGCTGCTCGGCTATGAACAAAATGTGGCAAATTAGAGCAAATGAAAATTGATTCAACGATCTTTCGTGCGCTATGAGAACGAAAAAATAATCGCGGAGAAAGAGCGAACGAAAAAAACAACAACAACCAACAAACAAAATAATTGCAAAGTATGCGAATTGTGTTACAGTTTTTTAGGCCTGAGGTTGACGTGTGAACAGCAGGCAATAGCAAAACAGAGCAGAAAAAAACAACACACGGTGTTTATTCAATTAAGATAAATTTCGGTCAATTGTTGATTGGCGCGCCTCATTGTTCAAGGAATCAATATATACACGATGTGTAGACTATTATTTGCGAGGCGCACGTCATTTGCAGGCATTGCCGTACGTGCGTTACTCTTTTTAGTCTTTCTCTCTCTGTCTCTCCCTCACGCTCTTTTGTGCCTCTGTTACGACGTGGTGCAAATCTCACAATAAATGTACCTAATTCATGCACATTGATCTATAAAATATATTCCACACACAACTGGTTTCATTTATTTCATGGCTATTGATCAATCACACAAGCATAGGGTGCAATTGTACGCTATGATTATTGTTTGCGATATATAAAAAGGTGCCGTAAAATGTTTGCGATAAAAGTGTTTGCCAGAATATTGAGTAAACTTAAGCGCATTTGTGAATATTTTAGCCATTTAAAGACTTTGAACTCAATGTCAATTGACTTTTCGATAAAAAGAAAACAGCTCAAACGACAATAATAATGATAATTTCATGATCATTTTTTTTAATGTATCTCTCTTATTCGGTCGTTATATGTGTATCGATGTCGGAATATCACACAAGCTAATTGATTGCAATGTAAAAATTAAAATGTATGTAAACAAATGTAAGCAGTCGCAAGGTCTTGTAAAAATTCTGTGTAAAACCGAGTCTATCAATTTGGAAAAGATAAATTTTGCGCTTCATTGCATTGACGTAGTTGTTAGATGGGTTGCATTGACGTATTTGATACATCAGCTGCCCAACACTTTGGTTGCTGTTGCTATAATGATCATAACTCTTCGATCAGTGTTCGATTCAAACCAAAATGAATGTGTCTTATCACACACAAATCAATTGAAACAAATCACATATTGCTTCATAGGTTATTTGAATCGCAAAATATACTTCCTGCTTGAGTGTGAATCAACAGTCGGTTGTTTGTTTTTATTTATTGTTATGTACATGCGAGCGAGAGATAGAAGAAGAAAAAAAGCGAATCGCTCAGGCGATGTATTGATTCCCAAGGGTGTCAAGTTATGTAAGGGACATGCACTTTACATATTCTGGGATCTTTCCATCAAATGTGTACGCTTTTGTTGCTGATCAAGCCAATAAATAAATATAAAAAATACGGTACAGACATATTCATTTAATTTCACAAAATCGTTTTCCTCATTCTCAATCGTAAACAATATTCAATAAATTTTGTTGATCGCCGTTGATATTGTTGTTGTCGAGTGAGAGCGTACGTTTTTTCTTCATTTGATTGATTGTCTAATATCGTTTGCTATCGTTCCGGTGATGATAACACATGCCGAGTACGGGCATATAGCAATGGCAAGAGATAATAATAAATTATTTATATGCGAGCACGTAAATACACACGAGCAACGCACGAGATAGAGAGTCAAATTAAACTGACTGCGAATGCGATTTAAATGTACATGAATATGTACTTCTTACGACATCAACAGTGTGTATGTGTGTGTGTGATCTGATAGTGTGGCACCAAATAGGTGTGATATATGTGCAATATGCTTATTACGAATATTTAGCCGCTCTTATACACGCAAGAGAAAAAGACTTCTTCGTATCTGCTCATATTTTTTGTTCAGTTCTTTTTTTTGTCGCTCCTTGGTTCAATTTGGTAGGGTATTCATTTTTAGACGATTTTAAGTTGAGTTTGGATTGAGTACGAAAATGAAACGAAATATGGCGTCAAAAAATGCCAACATCAACTATACACACACGGGCTGTTACAAATGCATGATAAACGGATAAAAACTGAGACAACGAAGACGACGACGACGAAAAACGCGATTCGTGGTGTGCAATCTAAAGGCCATATGAGATGTGTGCAATATTCGCATCCACCGGGTAAAACGAACGCAATAGATGCACATCAAACGATTTGCGTTGCGTGGTTGCTGCCTTTTTTTTCTGTTCGCTTCATTTTCTTTCGCTCCTCGTCGTCTTCAGAGAGTCCGATGTACGGCTGGCTGTCTCGCAGTAATAACGTTTATTTATGTCGATCGAACGTGTTTGTGTTCATCATTCGATTCAGATTGCGTAGCATTTCGTTTCGTCTATTTCCATTACTCTTTTGTAAAGTGCTATTTTTCGTTCTCGCTCTATCTACTTTTTTGTCGTCTTTTCATTCTAGTCTTGGCTTTTATTGTCAACTACAAACGATTATTTCAATTCGCCGTTTCGACTATAGACGATAAAAAATGGTTTTGATGCCACACTTAGCCCAATCGGAACGATATTTTTGTGAGAGCATAACAGCGAAAAATTCCAGAACAAATCCAGACACTGTGATACGCACCATAAATTCGATGATTTGTACAATCGCTCGTATATTTTATAGAAATTTTCATCTTGCTAAACGTTCCTTTTTTACACTCGCTCCCCCTTCCCCTCTTTCCCCGTTTAGTATCAGCGTTTTTGCCTTCAATTTAAACCAAATATAATAGGACAGACTGTACGGACATTTCAAGAACAGATTACAGCATTTGCACGTTTTGTTCTATATCGTATTTTGAGTTTTTAATTGGAAAATGTCGCTCTTTTCAACTGGAACAGACGTCGGGAAAATCGTCAATTGTAGAAACATTTCAAAAGAGACAACAATAACGAATCTCTGCTCAAAGTATAGAACGATAGAAGAATGTGTGAGAGACGGGCGCTCAGTCGCGCGCGCTCCTACACTCTTACGGCACAGCAGCAGCATCTCAATTTAATAATTTACACACAATTATATAATGTCGTTGCACATTCACCGAATTATAAAAAGAACATCTATTTCACAAACACACACACCGCAGCAGCACAGATATGAAAACGACAATGGATTATTTTCGCAAGTTTTTTTTTCTATCTGTTTTTTATTTGTTCATTTCATTCATTCGGTATATAATGTGGCTTGTGTTGTTGCATATGTGTGTTGATTTTTCATATTTCGTTCCGTTGGCTGGTGCGGAATTGAGCATGTTGTACGACGAAAAATGTATCGAATTTACCGCTGAGAATAAATGTAAGGAGCTCTCCCAAAAGGCACCAGCCAAGATATATGAAAGAGTTTCTCATATCACAATTTGCACGACACGACAGTGCAATCAGAATACGTATAATGTAATAATTTTTTTTTCACATTCTATCTTCTTTGCTTTGTGATTCGATAACAATTCTTGGTGTGGCTCATTCACATTTCGGATGTCTCTTTCTGAACCATGAAAATTGTGAAAAATCAACGAACCAAACATTGGATCACACACGCACACATGAAGTTGGCCATTTTTTTTGTTTGTTTCTTGTTTTCTTTTTTATCAATGAAAAAGATCAAATACGGAATCATTTTTATTCATCCTGTTTGCTTTTTATATTCGAATTGGCTATTTTTCTGTTTTGACTTTTTGGTTTTTCCATTCAATATTGGTTGGGTTTGAACGTGGAACAAAAAATATAATCGACCATTTTCTGATGCGATCATGTTTACACAAACACACAAATATCTATCTATAAACACACACTTCTTCGTATTCTTCGGTTTGGAGTTGTATCTTTTTTGCAGTTGATGCTCGTTTTCGGCGTTTCAATAAAAATCGATTTTATTCGTAACGTTGCAATATGATTTCTTTTTTTTTTGTTCTCTTCTTATTTTTATGTCTTCAGACTATGCACGTTTTAACAGTAACGCTTTTATTTTCCTGTGTATAGTTTTAACTTCGTTTTTTTTTTCTTGGATTGCGACGTACGAGAAAATAATAATTCCTTTTCTTCACTTCTCGTTTCACTAATTACTACAGCTTCGTTTTGCTTCTCATATAACAGAACTATCGAACGGTTGAGCGGCACAATTGAGACTGAATTGAAACCGTCTATTTTAATATTGTATGTTTGTGTATTGTTTCACACTTTTTTTTTGCTGTTCAGAGTGGTGATTTTCGAGATCGGTGTGTGTTTCGGGTCGGGCAACACAT